TCCTAAAAACCAAAGAGGTTAGGTATAGAGTATAGTACTAGAGGACAGGACAGCATCTCCCAAGGAAAGAGAAGTATAATAATGTATTGTTATGGTGAGACAATGGTGAAACTAAAATAGGACTATTAAATGGGGAGGGGAATGTGAGAACAGGGGATGTTGGGAGAAGACAACTAACACTGAAGGCCATTTGAAACACCATATAAAAACCTACTACTATTGAAGCTCCCTATTATAAACATATGAGAAGAATCTAAATATAGCGACCAAATAGTAGGGGAGATAATGTCCCAACTAGATATGTACGCAATCTAGTAAAACCTCAAATGCCAGAAATGGATTACATCTTGTTGATTCATTGGCCAAAGGGTCTGCAGATACACCCAAACATCACAGGCTACTGGTTGCTCTAGGCTATTGGTTGTTCTCCACAACCTGAAGGTAAGATTCTACTGCTAAAGACAACATTTATTACATCAAAGACAGAAAACTTGGTCCCTAACTAGAAGCTTCACCCACATTCATGGCATTAAAAGGTACTCTGCGTGCTACTGAATAAGAAAGGTAATTATCAATATCACCCAGGTAACAACTGTGCAGTCTACAACAATGATCTTCCTGCAAGATATACTGGTACAATAATGGCACAAATGTTGCAGGAGTAACCAACCACTTACCGCTTGGCCTTAAAGACCATTTTATGAGAGAACTCATACCTACCATAGCCAAAGTGGTCAAGAAGCTGAGATTAAACAGGTCATGAGCTTAGGGGGAAACCTAATACTGCTTATTCTGCTAAAGCAACATAGCAATAAAATGACTCCCAATGACATGTTGCTACACCCATTACATGCACAGATCACTGCACTACTCAACCCACACCAGAAGAGCTTCTTGCAGTAGATGAGAATTAACACAGAAACCCAAAACTGGTCAATGTACAGAGTGAGAGACTTTGGAGTACCTTGTCCTAAATGTGATATCTTCATCAAACCCCTCCCCTCAAGAATCAGGAAGTTATGGAGAAGAGGAGGCGGAAAAACTGTAAGAGCCAGAGGTGATAGATAGTTCCAAGGAAACAGTGTCTTCCAGACATAACAGGACTGACGCACACATGAACTCCCAGAGACTGTGCCAGCACCTATAAGACCTACACAGGGTTGAGCCAAACGAGGTTCCAGCACTAAGAGAGGGAAGTGGACACAGGGTCCCAAGAAGTTATCTGCAGTTGATAGCCACTGGTAAAAGAAAAAACAGTTTTCTCCAATGGCGTGTCACTGAGTTTATCAACCACACTCGAGAGTCTGCCCCAGATGCTGGAGCAGGGGCCAGCAAAAAAACAATCCAGTGATAGTATGACCTTTTTGTTTTATTTTGCTGGGTTTTTTTTTTTTTTGTCTTTTGATTGCTCATTTTAATTTTTGGTTTTGTGGTTTCTGTGTGTGATTTCTGTTTTTTATTCTTTAAAATGAGAAAAAGAACAAAGTTGGGTAGGTAGGGAAGTGGGGAGAATCTGGGAGAAATTGGGAGGGGGGAAAATCAAATGCATGGAAAAACTCAATTAAAAGAAGGGGTAGAATACTTGTCTAGCACTTGAGAACGTTGGTTCATTTGTGGAAGGGGACTGTAGTGGGCTAACAGAGTCGTTAACTTGAGCAATTCAGCTCAGTTATTGTAGAAGTATTCAAAACACAGTATTATGAGGGTGAATAGAATTAATGAAATAGAAAGTAGAAGCCCAAGTTTTTATTTCAGACAATCTAGAACAAATAGGGGAAACTTAGTGGCAAGATGCCTGTGGTTTACTTTTAAAATATAGCACCTGAGACTGACAAAATGATTCGGTAGGTAAAGTGCCGGGTGCACTAGCAATGAGTTCAATTCTCCAACACACATAAGAATCCAGCACATGACTGTAATCGCAGCACTGAGAAGAGAGACAGGAGAAGCAAGGGATTGCTGGCCTGGCAGCAATGGATGGGCTAATAGGCTCAGTGAGAGGGCCCTTCTTAAAATACTCAGGAGGAGGGGAGCTAGAGATGACTCAGCACTTGTTCTTGCAGAGGAGGTTGGTTTGATTTCTAATACCTACACAGCAGTTAACCTCTTCTGGCCTCCAAAGGCACTACACAACATGGGACACAGACATTCCTGCAGGCAAACCACCCATACATACAAAACACAAATAAATCTTTTAACAATATAACAAAATAAGGTTGAGCCCCCAAACTCTCTCCACCAGGCCAACACACAACACAGGATTCAGAAAATGCTACCCTGGGTAAGCTTCCTTTGCAATGAACTATAGTGAACCCAAAGACAAATGGGCACTCATGGAAGGACTTACCAGCCTGTTTAAGAATCAGAAAGCATGGCAGAAGGGGGGTGGGGTAGAAAGAATTTAAGCGTTAGAAGATAAAGAGATGGGTTGCAAAATGCTGTATTCTGGACACAACACAGCCACTGTAATCATGACATCACAGCAGTTATAGTTGCCTGCACTGGGCCTGCACAAATCTGGCCCTATCAGCAAGTCAAACATGGATCAGAAGAGAGTTTTCACAGCCCACCCTTTAGAGTTATTGCATACTGGCAAATTCAATGGCAGAATTCATCAATCAGTGTCTTCATTTCACAGGTCAACCCATCAAGGCTCCAACAATAGTTTGAATGTATGGACACAAGATGACCCCTGGTTAAATCATACAAGTCAAGTATCTATACAAAAGTAATAGCAGCCATACAAAGTCAAGCAACTAAAACGCATGGTAACTATTTTTCTTGTCAAACACAATAGTAAAACAAAACAATCAAGGCCAAGTAATTTCAAATGCAATGAAGTATCAGTGTTCTGACTGAAATTCCTGTATTAATTCTGTTAACTCCTTTAAAACAGAAAAATATAGACAACTATAACAGCACACAGAGCAAAGCCCATATGTCCTCTGTCAAAAGAGCTAATACTGGATCGTTCTTCTTGGCAGTTAATAAAATAAAAAACATTAGTACCACAACTGGGGATGTAACTTAGTGGTAGAGTGTCTATCATGCCAGAGTCCCTGAGTTCAAACCCCAACACCACAATAAAACAAACAACTAGCACAAGACACATTCAAGTGAAAAAAGAATTATTTCCATACAAACAATCAGGCTAATACTGAAAACAAATCTTGGTTATATAGTATGCTCTTGAGTTCTCAGCACAAAGCCTCAAAAATAATTTGATTTTCCTACAGACAGTATTTGCTATCATAGTAATTGATTCTTAGATGGTATCAGCCACTCAAGGACCAAACAAGATCAACTTATGACTTAAATATGAGGACTGTGCAGTTGACTTTGAGGAAGAGAAAGAGGCTGAAGATTGGACAAAGTTTGGCCAATGATGTAATCAAGCAGCCCAGGTAGTTGAGATTTCAGTAAATACCCTTGTTAGGGTACTTAGGGAACACTGAAGCATGTGGTGAACACACTGGTTTGGAAAAGGGGAAGAATTGATCACCTAGTATTTCAAAAAGGAGATAGCACAAAAACACATTACTCCTCTGAGAGCTGGCCATCTAACTAGAGAGAGAGGAAATATATGAAATAGTAGGTTCTTAAGTAACACATGTTAAAAGTTCCGACAAACACACAAACTGAGAACCTTAAGGCTAACTAATAAAATCAGAAACAAAGTGAGTTTTCCACAATATAAAAAGGTATGCTGAGATCACTGTGAAATAACACAACCCAATCTGTGGCCATTACCTCATGCACAGCAACTTTTCACAGCAGATTTACAAGATGAATAAATAACTTATATCTAATAATTAATATATTAAAATAAGTAAAAAACAGTATTTTGGTATTCAGATATGATTCAACTTCAGTTAAGAATTCTGCTAAGGAAATGCCTTAATAATCTGCAAACAAATTTGTAATATGTCCAGGATAGGAAATAAATTTCACAGACAAAGAAAATAAAGTATCATGATGAAACTGGCTTACAATAAAGAAGCTGAGAAATGTTCAAAACTAACAAAAATAAATAAAAAATAAGTCTGTTGCAGCATACAATAGAGAATCACAAAAAGATGGTATGTTTCTAAAAGAAATTCTCAGTGACAAACCATGACAGGTCTAATCAAGATTCTTGTAGGTGTACTCTTAAAACACATAAAAAACTGTACTTCTTCCTCTAAACACAGCTTAATTTGAATGAAAGAAGACAAAATCTTGTTAGTAATACAGGAATCAGGGAAAGTGGGTAACTAGGAGACTAAATTTGCAGGTAGAGAATGACCTAATAACCTCTTTCACTAATTAAGGAAATGGATAAACAGATATCTGGATAATCAGATCATCAGAACTTAAAGAGGAAAAGCACTGGGCATGGTGAGCAGTGGAAGAGCACTTGCTTAGCACGTGTGAGACCTGGGCTTTGGTCCTCAACAAAACAAAACAGAGAAGTTCCTTAGTGAAGGAAAACAGAGGACCTTCTGACAGATCTACCTAGAAATTAACTACCCAGGAGTAGTGCCCAAAACAGATGATAATAGTAAAAAAAATTGAGAGATTACTTAACTGTAATTAACAGTATAAAATATCAAACTTAAAGGAAAAAATAGCATGTACCGTTATTACTAACAGCAATTTACAGAGTCAATAGATTGGTTTTCTGGATCTACTAAAAAGTATGTCATTTTATATTTTTCATGTGTAACAAAGTTTATGTTATAAACTCAAGAATATCATGTCTTAAGTTCTCTCTCTCTTTTTTTTAAGGCAACTTTATAAGCTCTCATTTCTCAAAATTTTAAACCACACAACTAAACATCAAAAAATTCTTATTTCCAGGAGAAAATGATAAAAATGTTTCCAATGTTACTTCATGTTGCGATTTAGCATCCACCAATAAGGTATGCCCCTTACTATGAGGTGATCTCTTGGTTCTTTCTCTTAAAATAATTACATAAAAGCTTGTTGCTTACCCACTAAGAAACCGTCTGCATACTAACCTGGCCCAGTCCAGGCATACCTCCTCCAAGTCTAAGAAGTCTGTCCATATTTCTAGAAAACAGAAACAAAGGAAAACGTTCCTAAGCACAAAAGTGTTTACTCAATTGCTATCTATATAATTCACCTTCAGTCACTCAGTATGTCAAAAATATTGGTGGTAATTACAACACAACATCAGACTTCCTGTTAATTAACACCACATATTAATTCAAGAAGCTGTCTTCCATGCTAATTAACAGACCTTATTTTACTGCTTTGGTTTTGGGTTATCCCCGGTTTTAAAGACAAGCAATCTTAGCATACTTTCAAAACTTTCTATCCTTAAGTTAATTATATTTTCTTATTGTTATCTAATAAAACACCTGGATGGGGGAAAGTGCCTAGAATGCTTATCATATGTATGATTGAATTTCCTTCAATTTGTTCAGAGTGTACAAATAAAAATCTACACTTTTAAATTAAATTTTAACATCCTCATTAGTAAGTGCTGTGCTAATTAACTTACAGCTTGTCAGTTATCATCAAAACTACATGTGAAAGACATTATAAGTAGATTACGAATCTCTGAATTAGCATCAAAGGATTTTAAAAAATGAACTCATTATATTAAAAGAAAATACTATAAAGATAAAATGGATTAAGATAGTGTTCTAGAGCCCACACAGATACACTTATTTCAGATTTTGTAGAGATACACAACCTTTCACAGCTGCTATTCTCAATCACAATTCAGAGTTAATTGTTACAACTTAGAGATATCAGTTTATCTTCAGTCTGGAATAACTAAAGAAGATATTCATAAGCACAAGACACTCACAAGAGAAATAAAGGAAAGAAATGGCAGTTGTACTTACATGGCCTCAAATACAGAACAAGGCATCAAATTATACAAAGGAGTAGCACCGTTAACTAAGCACATAAAAATCAAAACAAAGCTTTTTTTTAACTTTAAAACTACTACTGTGCCCTAAAATTTGTCTTCTTCCTAGGTGTTTACTTTAGACCATCACAAGTTATAATCTAAACTAAGTGCTAAGAGATTAGGAATCTTTGTCCATGCTTTACCAATTAAAACTGCTGCAAACTAACCATCAATAATGTACTTAAGTCATTACACTTCTGACTAATTATGTATGCTGAATCAATTGGTAACAATAACAATTAAAATATCACAAACTTTATTCACGTCTGCATTCAGAAAGGCACACAAATAACAAAGCCATGGACACCTCACAAAGTGAGTGCAGTGGCTGATGGAACCATCATCTATGTCAAGAAGCCACATGAAATGACTCTCCAGTCTCTCTACTCCAGACAGGGGGGATTCTGGCTTCTAACAGTACACAATAGTTCTGTTGCTTTCAAATTATGTAAAAACAGAATCATAGATATTTTTTTTCTTTTTGATCTGACTTCTTTCATACAACATGTTTGTAAGATTCACAGCAGATAAGTTCATCTGCACAAATGATAAGGAAAGAAAATTTGGTGTCACAACCATACTTATCTGACTAATTATAATTACAAATAACATCTCTATCAAGTTCCTCAACTCAAATAGTCATTCAACACAATCCCTTTTAAACAATCCTGTGTATTTTAGAATATCAAGATATTTTCTCTAAAATGTATTTCTAAAAAAGAAAAATTCTGTGGACCATTTCAAGTTCACAAAACCACAAAATCAATGAAGGTGACAACATACACTTCAGAATACATATACATATATTCATTCTAGGCCAAAGTCAATTCCCAGCTGTGTTAGTTTATCTACTTTCTCTATGCTGTTTCCGATGACACTACAGAAGACTCCAGATGCTGTGAATATACATGAGCGATGTGGGGAGCAGAGGGAAAGAAAATCTGGCAGGTCAAATTTGTGTTTTTCACAAAATTAGATGTCTCAGCAAACAGTAAAAGATATTTAACAAATTAAAACACTTAAGATGAACACATTTTATAAAAATACTAACATTTGGAAATGAAATATATTGATAAATATTCTAAACCACACAACTTCCTAAAATCTGGTTATCACACATATTCTTAATTTGATGTCTGTTAAAAAATAATACATTTACATAGTATCTATCATACTCTAAAACAACAGTCAAAGGTAAAATACATTCGTAAACCTCACCTGTTCAGTAACGGTAATTCTTACGGTGTTAAGCTTCAATTTGTTGAATCTGACAAATGTCTTAACTTCAATTCTTGCTAATTCTGGCAGGTATAACTTTTTACAAGTAGTTTTTTCTTTTCTCTCTCACTCAGTCTCTCTCCTATAAAAAGAAAGGTACTTAATTATTTTGAAAACTGAGAACATTTTATACCTCCCCCCCCAAAAAAAAATGCCCCAGTAATGGAGGCTGGACATAGGGTGTCACCCATGCTAGGCAAACACTCTTACATCACCATCTCTAAAACTGAGTTTTAATAATCATCTCTTGAAGAACATGGACTGACCTCTCAATCAGGCAGATTTTAGGCATAGATATTACTCGGTTACATTGTGTTTTTTCATTGTACTTTTCCACTGACTTTGAGGACTAATATTTTATAGCTTTCAGTATTCCTTGAGGTCTCTCAAAAAAATAATATTTATTTATATTTTTAAAAAGAATAAGAATCACCTTATTATAATATCAGTATAGGTTCAATACAAATTTCTATACTTATGCATGTAGGACCCTACTAGTATTTTTCTTTTATCTTGGTAACTTGACCTCCATATATCCCTACAATTAGTTCATCGTTTAATTATTCACAACTACAATGAAAATAATAAGAAAATGTAAAGTGCCAAGAACTGTATAAAATGCAAGAGGGAAATAAATTATAGCAGCACTATCATCCTTTAATTCCTAGTGTATTGCCCAAAGCATTGGTTTATCTTTCAAAAAGATGCAGGAGACCCTCAGTTTGAAGCCAGTCTAAGCTACACAATTTACCCTGTCAAAAGCCACAACAAAACATGGGCTAGAAACACCAATGTCTTTGCTTCTCTCCTTCCTTCTCTAAACTCCCTTTAGAATTTAGAAGTTTACATTTTCCAGCCATAATCACAAAGAAATAAACAATGATGAAAGTTTCATTCTTATTGTAGATCACAAGTAAATGCAAAGTAGCAGACATTCTCACCTCTGATAATGACAGCAAAATTCAGGCCACAGATTAGATATTAGCTTTGGTAGTACTGACATTCACTCACAACCACGAATTTTGCGCTGGGGGCTATCCAGTGTATTACAGTGTTTAGCAGTATCTTTGACACTTAATACATTTTATGTTAGCAGAAATGATTAACTTGTGACCGTGAAAAATGTCTCCAAACATTGCTAAATGTCCCTTGAAAGAATAAAAGCACTCTCAATTGAGAAGCATTTTTATAAACAAAATCTGAGACTATGCCTCTTGAGATGACAATCCTAAGCAAACTTTTTCAAACTTAAAAAACAAGGAGTTCTGGAAACAACTTGGCAGTGTTCAAAAATTTATACACAGAATTACCATACGGCACCAATTCTATTCCTTGAAGTATGTCACAAAGAATTTAAAACGGGTTGGGCATGGTGGCACACACCTGTAATCTCAGCACTCTGGGAGGCAGAGGCAGTAGCAGGTTGATCTCTGTGAGTTCAAGGCCAGCCTGGTCTACAAAGCGAGTCTAGGACAGCCAAGATTACTCAGAGAAACCCTGTCTTGAAAAAACAAACAAACAAACAAACAAACAAACAGACACAATTTAAAACAGGTCTTTAAAATAAGACATGCATATTCATGTGTGTAGCACTATGATTCACAATAGTAAAAATGTGGAAATACTCCAAATGGCCATCACATGATGAGTAAACAAATTTTATTATATGTACATACAATAGAATGCATGCAATATTAAATGGCTATAAAAAGGAACAAAGTTATGATACATGTTACAATTTGGCCGAACCTGAAAACAAGTAAAGGCTGAATATGTAGCCCAGCTGCTGAGTGCTTGCCTTGGTATATAAAAAGCTCTGAGTTCACTCTTTAGACAAGAAGAAAGGAAGAAGTGAGGGAGAGATTAAGAGTAGTAAGCCAGGCCTAAGGGTGACATGTCATGTGTAACTTTTTTATAACTCCAGTCAACACACCTTAGAATCACTTGAGTTGAGAAGAGTCTCAAGAAGAGATTATTTGACCAGGCTGGCCTGTGAGGGCCTGTCCTGACTGTCTTGATTGCCTTAACTTATACGGAGAAACCCCAGCAGAAACTGGGCAACACCATTACCTGATTTGGGGCCCCAGAAGAAGAATAGGAAAAGGTAGCTGAGGACCAGGCATGCACTCACTCATTTCTCTATTATTAACTGTCAATGTGAAGGAACTGCCTGCTTTCAGAGTCCTTCCCTGACTTCTCCAAAATGAAGATAAACTGCAGTCTGGATTAGTAAAGATAAAAATACTTCATTTTTCCCCTAAGTTGCTTTTGTCAGGGTGTTTTCATCACAGCAACGGAGATATCACATGATTCTACTTAAATGAAGTATACAGTAAGTCTATTAGATGAAATGTAGACAAATGAACCTTACAGCATTTCCATACATACTTGACTTTGGTAGGCTCCCCAACCTGTCCCAACACTTTTCCCCCAACCCTATGTCTCCTCCCCAACTTACACAATTCCAGCCCCAGCATTCCCTTACACTTTCGTGTTATACTTGGTCTGTTAACCCCCCATTCCTCCTCTCTTAAAACTGTTTCCCCCCATCTAATAGGACCCTGTCTACTTTCCTGATCTTTACCTACGCTCAATCTCACATAAATACACATTCATAAAGATTAGAGGGTAAAATCAGTATATAAAAGAGAACATGTAATATTTGCCTGGGCGACCTCATTTAATGTACTATTTTCCATTTTCATCCATCATTCACAATTTTATTTTTCTTTAAATTTTAATAAAATTCCATTATATGGGCCACATTTCCATTGTTCATTTATGCATTTGTTGGTAGACAGTCAAACTAGTTCCATTGCCTTGCTATTGAAAGCAAAGCAGCAATAAACATGAATATGTCAAGTATCCCTGTGGTAGGACACAGGATCCTTTGTCTATATACCCAGGAGTGGTAGAGCTAGCTCTTGTGGTAATTCCATTTTTATGTTTCTAAAAAGCAAACAAACAAACAAACAAAAAGCATACAATTTCCATAATAGTTACACCAGTTTTCATTTCCACCAACAAAGAATAAGTTTCTCTTCCCCAACATTCTCATTGGTATTCGTAGTTATTATGATAGTCATTCAGCTGGGGATGAGATGGAATTTTTGAGTTTTACTTTGTTTCTCTGGTGACTAACGTGCTGAAAACTTGTAAAAATAGTTATTGGACCCATTTGTGTTTGTTCTTTCGAGAAACACTTGGTTCAACTCATGAGCCCATTTGTTGACTGGCAGCTTTTTTATTAACAAACATTTTACTTCTATTTATGTGTGTGTACATTGTTTGTGTATGTGTATGTGTGTGCAATTTTAGTTTCCTGGTGTTTAACTTTTGTGGTTCTTTATATATTCTAGATATTAAACCCCTGTCTGAAGTATAGCTGGCAGATTTTCTCCCATTCTGCAAACTGTCTGTTCACTCTGTTGATAACTTTTTTTTTTTTCTGTACAGAAGCTTTTTTATTTCATGCAATCCCATTTCTCAATCCTAACTGGAATTTATAAATCTAAAAATAAAATGTTTTACAATTGAGGCAAATATGATGGCTCTTCTCCATTCAACAAAATCATGAGCTGTCAATGTTTTTCAAAAAAGTATTACAAGTGGGAAGATGAAAATCTCTGGAACTAGTTGGTAATAATACAGTGATTCAACAACGCAAATGTACTAAACACTGCAGAACCAACACATTAAAATGATGAATTTTACTATGTCTATTTTACACACACACACATAGGCGCACACACACACACAAAACAAACAAAAACACAGGACCTAGTAAAAGTGTACCTACACTTCTACACTTTCAGGACTTTTTGGCAGCCCCAAGAAAGCTGAACCTAGAACTTCTTCCATGCTAGGCAAGCATTCCATTACTGAACCACACCTCCAGTTCCTATGGAGGTATTTGAAATGCAGAATCCATCTTCGTCAGAGACATTTCTTCCAGGTTTGTGCATGGAAAATAGTGAGCGGTTAAACACACACAAAGTATGCTGCCCATCTGAGCTACCCACATTTTCAAAGTCAGAAAAAAAAAAGAATAAGCACTATTTGCTACATGTACACCTAACTGACACCTCGAATATAATCTCAAAATCTCTGTATTTTCCTGTCTTTAAACTTAAGATGATCTAAGAGTGCAAGAAATAAAAACAGTCCATTGGGATGAGACAATGAGGAAAACTGCTTTTCTTAGCATACTGGATAAGTGCTGCCGCCCATCAGCCATAGAGCCAGGACGGCAACACTAGCTCTACGTGGTGTATTTATCAGTTAGTTACCTTTCCTTCTCAATGTTCTCATCAACAAAGTGAAAATAAACAGACTATCTGTCTCATGAGGCTGTTTATAATAAGGAAGACAATGTACACAGAAAAGCATTTAACACAATCAAAGCATAAACAAGCAAACAATGAGTGCCACCTCTATCATAAACACTCACCATCCTAGAATAGCTTCTCATGGTAAAGCCACTAAGTATAATCACAGAGACAAATCTATCATATTTGAGACAGGGGCATTCATTTTCAAAATTCTGCAGAGGTTCACAAGTGGAACTGTACACAAGAACATAATTTTTTTTTTTTTCTGATTTTTCAAGATGTGGCTGTCCTGGAACTCACTCTGTAGACCTGCCCTTGAACTCACAGAGATCTGCCTGTTTCAACCTCCAAAGCTTTTTTTTCACCTCAATCACCTGGCTAAAAGAGAACGCCTTCAATTCTCATAAACAGAAGAAATGTAAAAGATTTGTAGGTATAAACTTAGGATTTAAGAGCCCACTCATAATAGATTCACTTTTATATTTTCTTTATTTTATTTTTATGTGTATGAATGCTTTGCCTGCATGCATGTATGTGCACCACACCCATGCCTGGTGCCCCTTGAAGTCCACAAAAGGGTGGAGGTCCTCTGGAACAGGAGTTACAAATGGTTGTGAGAGGCCAGGTGGGTGCTGGGAGCTGAACCCAAGTCCTCTGCAAGAACAAGTGCTGTTAAGCACTGCCCCCTCCAACCCTGACATGTTAACTTCGCTTAACCCACTTAGCACCACAATATGAAGCTTTACAAAACCAGTATAGCATCATACACACAGAAATAGTCAGAACGCTTATTAGCAAAAAGAATAAAACAAGCATCTACTTGAAGGTTGATGACTCTTCATCTCTCAGGGCAGCATCTGACTGTGGTGGTGCCTTTAATTCCAGCACTTGGGAGGCAGAGGCCAGCTGCTCTACATAGTAAGTTACAGAACAGCCAGGACTATCACACAGAGACAAAACAAAACAAAGAAACAAAAGTATTTTTAGATCATGTTCATGTTAGCTTTAAATCAGTTCTGAAATATTTATAAGCGCTATATGGAACAGTGGCTAACTAAAAAGCAGATCCTTCAAAGTTGTATTAGTTTGGATTTCTCAAACTTTCAAACTCTTTCTAGGGATACTAACATATCAAAAGTGCATAAACTTCATATAAAATCTTGACGTATTTAGTCATTCAGGCTTATCACTGTGTCTCCTACTTTACTGGTTTAATCCCACTCCTCTGTGCAAATAGCAATACTCTCAAATAGTAAATCCTTTCAAACTATTCCATATTTGTGGTCTCATTATAGTTCTACATCTTCAATTCCTCTATTCTAATTTGTGAAAGGTAGGAACGTCTTCCTCACTTTTTTCCAGTACAATCAAAGCTAGAGTTAATATTAAATGTAATTCTTTAAATGGGATTTTTTTTCCCACCTTTTGGTTTTGTGAGACAGGGTCTCACTACATAGCCCTGGCTTGTCAGGACCTGGCTACAGACCAGGCTGGCCTCACATTTGCAGCAATCTTACCACCTCTGCCTCTTGAGTACTGGAATTAAAAAAGCTTTAAAAGCAAGACTGGAAGTCACCAACAAGGCAGATAAGCAGGTAAGGCCTAGCCCGATGTCTTAGTTTGAGACCTGGAGTCCACACAGTGGAAATGGCGAACTGACTCCCGCAGGCTGTCCAGACTCTCTTCTTCCCTCCCCCAAACCCTGTGTCTGTCTCTGTGTGTCTGTCTGTATGTGTATCTCTCTCTCACACACATACACACAAAACCAATCAGAGAATCAATATTTTAAAAATTAGAAAACAAGATTCCACTCCAAATCCCATTTAGACTAAAATTTTAGTCTTAGAAGAAATGCAACTATCTACTGCATTGTCACTAATCAAAGCAAAATATTTGCTAAGTACTACCTTGTACACTCAAAATTTAAGTATGCAATACAGAAAGACAGTACTATAGAGTAAAAACAGCTCTAGAACCAATCAACTTAGACTGGAATCCAGACTTCACTGTATTATACAGAACAAGTTACTTTCTTCTAGAGCTAGATGCTAAAGTCAAAATACATAACCTTGTCAAGTCTGATATGACAATACACCCAAAGTGTCTAAAACAGAGCCTGTAAGGAATATCCTAGGTACTCAATAAATACTGCCACTGTCACTATTATCACAGCTCTGTTAAAACTGATAGAAATCATTCAACCTAATGCTTCCACTTGACAGATCAGGATACCAAACTCGCAAAGCAAAGTATGAATTCTCCAGAAAGTGCAGGAAGATCATCGCAAACAGACATGGTGTGGGTACTCAGGGAAGGCTTTCACAGGTAGACCCTGAATCATCAAGCAAAAACTGCTTGTTTTTCAAAACACTGAAAACCAAAAGGCACAACTGCTTCTTGTTAATGATTTTCAAACAAATGATTCTGAACCTACATACTAGGTATAATGTTTATATGGCAAGTATAAAAAGAGGATGAATCAATTGTTAAGGTTACAATCCAGCTTTTTACTAAAATGACAATGCATTATTAACAAAATCTTGGGGGTGGAGGTGGGGAATGGTCCCAAATCCAAGAGGTGAAACTAAATCATGACTTCAAATTTTTCTTTTGGCAAGATTCAATTTTGTTTTAGACAAATTCGAGACAACTTTCAGTTTTTCATCAAGCATACCTTAACCTTAATTAAGCAAGCCACTGTGTATCTTAGTATCTATTCATACACAACCTATACAATTTGTTTAAATGATATAATTTATTTGTATGATTTTTAATTGTGTGGGGGTGGGTATATTTACATGAGGACAGGTGCTGGAGGACACGTGTAAGAGCTGGAATTACAATCCATTGTGAGCCACAGGGTATGGGTGCTGGGAACAGAACGTGAGTCCTCCGCAAGAGCAGTGCACATTCTTAACCACTGAGCTATCTCTCTAGGCCCTAAATCATACAATTTATACCTTGAAAATGAACTTTTTATTGAGCTAACATGGCTAGAAGACCACCATTATATTAGTTCACTGACACTTTGTTCAGTTTCCAATTTCAACTTAAGTGCTTGTCTTGTTGCTTTACTTACATAATGTTTTCAGCAGCACAACAAACTTTGGGGCTGGGCATTGAGGCACACACCTGTAATGCCAGCACTGGGGAGGGTGAGGTAGGAGATTATATCAGTTAGAGGTCAGCCTGGGTTGTGGAGGAAAAAACTATCTCACAAAAAAATCCCATAGTTACCTTTATTCGAGGTTAGAGAACAAGGTCTTTCCATCTATCCTTACCCGGCCTATAATCAGTTACACAGACCAGGATGACCTCAAACTCGCAAACGTTCCCCTCACCCCCCATGTGCTGGGAGTGTTCCCATGAGAACTGTATTTCTTTGCTAATTTTTAAAGAAATTTTAATTTTTATGTTAAATCTTTATTAATGTTTGCATTTTTGCTGTTGTTTTTGTTGTTGTGAGATAGGGTCTCACTATGTAGCCCTGACTGGCCTGGAACTTGTAGACAAGGCTAGCCTTGAACTCAATGAGAACAGCCTGTCTCTGCCTCCTGAATCCTGGGATTAAAAGTGTTCGCCACTGTTTTAGAGTTTCTATTGCTGTGAAGAGACACTATGACTATGGTAACTCTTTTTTGTTGTTGTTGTTGTTTTGTTTTTCGAGATAAGGTTTCTTTGTGTAGCCTTGGCAGTCCTGGACTCACTTTGTAGACCAGGCCAGCCTCTGTTGCTCCAAGTGCTGGGATTATAGGCGTGTGCCACCTTGCCAGCTGACTATGGCAACTCTTATTAAAAAAGATTTAATTGTGACTGGACTACAGTTTCAGAGGTTTAGCCCACTGTTATCCTCACAGGACATGTGGTTTACAGGCAGACATGGCACTGGAAAAGAGCTGAGAGTTCTACAACTTGATGCACAGACAGCAGAAGGCTGTGTGCCACATAGTCAAAGCTTGGGCATTTGTGACCTCAAAGCCCACTCCAAAAGTGACACACTTCCTCCAGTAAGGCCACAGCAACTCCAACAAAGCCATACCTAATTGTGCCACTCCCTAATGGGCCAATGGAGGCCAATTACATTCAAACTACCACAGACACAATTAGAAACTTGGCTGTCATTTTAATTAATTTTTTTCACTCTGTGCTGAGATGGGATTACAGGCCTGTAATTGTAACACTTGGGAAATTGAGGTAGGAGTATGTAAGTTTAAGTCCAGCCTGGTGTACATAGTTAGTTCTAGACCAACGAGAGATACATAGTGAGACTCTGTCTCCAAAGCAATAAGTGAACAAACAGTCAAAAAATTTATGACTGTTTTGAAATGCTGACATTCTTCTGAAAGACAGTAAGATCGACTCACAGGAAAATTTAGTTCCAATAACCCACAACAGCGGCACTTAATTTCTACTTTACTCCAGAAAGGAAAAGTAACCAATCCACACACCAGTACTCAAATGGAGCAATACAGCAAGTAATGGCATGGCAGAAATAACCAAACTTAATTCTGAAAACATTCAGGATTAAAAGCAATGCCTCTCTGAGCGTTTTAAAGCTTATGGGACAGACAAACAACTAAGCAAACATGCACTCTCCTGAAATTCAGTGCATCCTCTCCTTTGCTTCCCTAGCCTGGAAGTTTTTTAACACAGGAAGAACTGACGACGAACACAAACAGGCCATAACCACGGTTCTGCCAGTTGATGAGAGAAAAGTTCCCAAGCTAGGGGGAAGAAGAAACGTTTGCAAGGGGATGACAGCTAGATCTGACCCTGCCAGAGACCCGGAGGTTAAGAAAAAGAAAACCAAGGGAATCGCGCTTCCCATCACCCCGAGACTCCACCGGCAACCTGGCTGGGCAACGTGACTCAGGAAAGCCCAGGGCTTGCGGCGGCCTAACGAGGCTGGCCCCCGGACCTCCCCAGGCCCGCCTCGGGCCTCGGCAAAGGCCGCCAAGTGGGAGGCCGAGGTCTGCTCCTTACCTGGCCTTACGGCGACGCGGCGGCGAGGGCAGCGCCTCACAGTCAACAAGGACCTGGCTCCGAGAACCGGCGATGAATCAGCCCGATTCCATTCAAAAGAGTCGCCCAGGCCTCCGCCGAGAAGTACTTCCGGGTTCCCGGCTCCCCCTCGGCTTCCTTTCCCCCCACCGCCAATTGGAGCCCGCGGGGAATTGCACAGGCTGGGGGCGGGAGGGACGTACGGCGCATGCGCAGGCCGCCGCCGCTCGCCCCAAGCCTCGGGAGGCGGAAGTCAGGCGGGAGGCTCCTCCCTCCAGTGTCTCTGCCGGCCCCAAGCTTACTTTATGGAGCTCTCCGTGGTTTGGAGCTTTTGGAGGCGTTAGTATGGGGGAGCCTAGAATCTCTTTGGCTTATTTCTTCGCCAGTGTGGCCCTCCTCAAAAGTAAAAACTTGAATTGAGCTTATCTTGGTCACTCGAAAAGCAAAAATGAAAAGACGGAGGGGGAATGATTAGAGATACACAGGCTTTCTCCGTATCCCAGTTGACCCTCTCTTCACTGCCTCTAAGGTTATAGATCTCAAGGGAAATTGACGTTTTTTCAGTGTTCCTGCCTCTTATTTCAGCTGTTTGAGTAAGTACTGAAACGGTGTTTCTCTACATAATTATCAACAAACTACCTTTTTACCCTTTTAATCATTGTGCTAGATTTTCAAAAATAAACTTATCCAAGGAATTAATATTAACAAGTTTCTGTCACTCTATGGGACTAGATACAGGCTCCGTTTAGGTCGCTCGCCGTGTTTGGAATGCTTCCACTTTCTCAAACATGCTAAAATGCATCTTTAAAGCATTTCTGAATTAAAAAAAAAAAAAAAAAAGGCATTCCTAAACCAAAAATCACGATGGAACTAGTGAATGGAGGAAGAGAACAGATTACAGAATCATGCTCATTTAGTAATAAACTCACAGGAAGAAAAATTAGGAATATGGGTAAGACTTAAGTGAGCCTGGGGTGGTGGCTAATGGCCTAAGCACTCTTGCTTTTGCTGCTCTTCCAGAGGATGAGCATTTCATTTACCAGCATCCATAATGGGTTGCTCGCATACAATTGCTTGTAACTCCACCTCTAGAGGATCCAATGACCTCTTCTCCCAAGAGCACACACACAGACACAAACATACATTTTTAAGTAATATTTTATTAATTATTTGAGAACTATATAAAAATAAACATTCACTCCCCCAACTCATTCTATAACACACACACACCCTCAAACCTTCCCTCTCTTTCCACCCAACTTGGAACCACTCCTCCCATCTAGTCCATTTTGTGTTGCCCAACTAGTCTTGGGAATATGGTTGCCCTTCTAGGGTCACATAATTAAAATTGACTGTTCTTCTCCCTTTAGCTCTGAGTAGCTCCTTAGTGGTGGGATTTAGTACCTACCTTCAAACATCTATGTTGGGATTGTGTCTGGCTTGAGATCTTATACATGCTGTCACATCACTGAGTTCATATGTGCAAGTGCCCCATTGTGTCTGCAAAACACTGCTTCCTTGATTTTATCCACCACCTCTGATTCTTGCAATCTTTCCAGCCAGTCGTCTGAAAAGATCCCTAAGCCTTGGAGAAGGGGGTCAGATATAATGTAGAATTAGGGCTGAACATTCCACAGTCTCCTGTTCTCTGCACACTGACCCACTAACAGGCTTTGTGTTAATTGGCACCTACTACAAAGAAGCTTCTCTGATAAAGGTTTAGATATGCTCTGATCTATGGGTATAGAAATGTTATTAGGAACCACTTAAATATGTCCATTTAGCGGAATAACAGTACTGGGTTGTTTTTTTTGTTTTGTTTTGTTTTGTTTTTCTTAAGGCCCATGGCCTATCTAGCCACAGTTCTTGGCCCCTGTAACAGTGCCAGGTATTTAGTTCCACCTCATGAAGCAGACCTTAGATGCAATCAGAAAGTGTTAGTTACTCTCATAGCATTTGTGGTACTTTACGTCAGTGGGTATATCTTCTCAGGCCAGTTGTTTTTGTAGTTTGCAAAGTTCAGGGCTGGTAGCATTGTGTTGCACCTTCCAGCACCATGAAAGTTAGACAATAGGGATGGAGCATCCAGGTGAGCATAAGCTTGGTTTCCCCATGTTCTTTGAGTCCAGTATGTGGAATCATAAGGAGTTAGCATCAGACCATCAAGTTCTGGAACGTAGCCCAGAAGTATTGACAACAGCCTGTAATGCTTGGGGTTGCTTTGTATGACTCCAATGGCCAACAACCCAAAAAGAACTAACACATTTCTGATACTGAGGCTTTCATTTATTAGCATGTGGTGTCTATCCGGGGTACTACCCCGCATTGTAGGGTAATTCCATTAGGCCTCTTTTCATATATGTGTTTGTATATATTTAAGCAAGTTTCTATGGTATTAGGATGTAATTTTTAAAGATTTATTTTTATAATTTTTTATGTGTATGTAAGTGTGTCTATGTGAATAAATGCCACTTCTGTGCAGCGGCCTTCAGAGGTGGAAAAGGGTATCAGATTCCATGGAGCTAGAGTTACATACAGTTGCGAGCTTCCCAACATGGGTGTCGGGACCGAAACTTATCTTCTGGAAGAACAGCAAGTGCTCTTAACCACTGAGCCACCTTTCCAATACCTAAAAAAAACTATTTTAATGTGTTCAAAAGGGTAATGAAAGCCACATCTGAAGAATTAGAAGAAAGTAAGAAAAAGATGTACACTGAAAATTAATAAGAAATAACTAGCATGATGGTGCATACCTTTAATACCAGCACTTAGGAAGAGGAAGAAGCCAGATCTCTGTGTAAGCTCCAGGTCAGCCTGGTTAACATAGGTGAGTTCCAGTACTAAATAGAGATACTCTGTCTCAAAAAAAAAAAAAGAAAGAAAAAAAAGAAAAACTTTAAAAATTATTAAAAATAACAATTACTTTAAAGATATATATTCTAGAATTGAAAAATACACTAATGTGAAAACTTTACATAGCGGGTCTTAACAGCAGGTTTAAGCAGTGAAAGAAAGACAAAACAATTTCAATATGGGTCATTGAAATTATCTAATCTGGAAAACATATAGAAAAAAACAATGAAGAAATGTGAACAGATCTTCAAAAACCTGTGGAACACGATCAAGCATTAAAACTGAAAAAGACCAAAAGATTTCTATATCCAGGATTATTATACTTGAAAACCAAAAGAAATATCAATATATTCCCCAAAGGTATGCACTAAAGAAAATAAAGAGAATTTGCCAATAGAAAATCTCAACAAGAAATACCAGAGTCCTTCAGCTTCAAATAAAAAGGACTAGATACAAAAAAACTCGTGAAGGAATGAATATTTGTAAAGATAATCACATAAGTAAATATAAAAGACAATTTATATGTATATAACTCATTTTTCTATTTGATCTAAAGTATTAAGTAATTGAGAGAATTATTTTACATAAAGATGTAATTTGTATAATGACAACCAAAGGAAGAGGAAGAAAATGAAATTATATAGCACAAGGGTTTCATACGGTATTGAGCTTAAGCAGATTTATCTAAACTAGATAAAGTATAATTTCCAGAACCAAGCACTTAGAAAAATGCTCAAAAATAGGGAACTAGGGAGATGGCTTGGCAGTTAAGAGTATTTGCTCATTGACCGTAAGGTCTGGACTCAGATCCCAGCAGTCACGTAACAGGCCACCGGACATTCCCTACCATATCACCGTGGGAATAGGAAGATTGCTGAGGCACACTAGCTTTCGGCCTAGCCATAATGAAAGCCCCATGTTCAAGAAACACCTGCCTCCGAGGAACAGATGCAGAGTGACAGAAGAGGATGCCTATTGCCCTCTTCTGGCTCCTGTGTACACATATGCAAGTATACACATATGCATGTGTCCACACACATAAATTAATGAATAAATAAAATATTAAATGCTCAAATGTGTGTGTGTGGCTGTGTCTGTACTTACAGTCAAAGGACAAGCTTGTTAATGTATACTTAAAGCATGGTGTCTGGATGTATTTCTACTTCTCTCATTGCTGTGAGTAAATACCTGACAAGAATCAACTTATGGAACAAAAGGTTTGTTTTGGTTCACAACCCCTGTCACAACTTTTCCACAATTCCACCAATAGTCAGGATGCTGAGAAAGATGAATACAGGTGTTCGCTCACTTTCTCCTTTATGTGGTCTCAGGTCACAGCTCATAGAATGATGCCACCCACATTTAGGATTGGCCTTCCTTGATCAATTACATTTCTCTGGAGACAGGATATACATATAGTAATCCATATAGTAAGGGTAATACATATATATTACTCTTAACCTCTGAACCACCTTTCCAGACCCTAAAAGATATATTTTAAGTGTGTTCAAAAAGCTAATGGAAACCATGACTGAAGAACTACAAGATAGTAAGAGAAAGATGTTATACAGATAGATAGATAGATAGATAGATAGATAGATAGATAGATAGATAGATAGATAGATGGATGATATCTGGAGATATAGAAATAGGCATTTCCAGGGGTGTGTTTCCATGCATTCTAAATATAGCCAAGTTCCCAACAAAGACTAGCCATCACGGTGGCACAACCTGTAATCCCAGCATTGTAGAGGCAGAGTCAGGAGGATTGCAGTCAACGTAGCCTACATAGCAAGTTCTAGACCAGCCAGTGTTACAGTATAAGACATTTCATGAAAACTAGAGAAGGAGAAGCAGAGGTGGGGTAGATAACATTAAAGTGGGCAGAAAAGAAGAAATGCAGAAAGAAAGACGTAATGAAACAAGTAGCTGCCCTTGAAATGCTGGGATGGAATCTAAGGTATTTTAGGTTCTTCCAAGTTCCTTTGGATCTGCTTTCTCCATGTTTATGTCATTCCTTTCTCTTAACTACTCTTACTCTGTTATTGTATTTCCATGACAGTTTTAGAACTTTTATATATTTCTTTCCCTCTGACTAGACCATTCTGCTACTCCCTTCTTTTCCTCCCACTAACTTTTCATTTAGCTAATCTTTCAAGTCTGAGAAGTCCAGCAGGATGGCTCTCCTTACTGTGCTCTTTCCAAGACCCACACCCATGGTTTCTGTTGTTCTGATACTTATCTTCTTTGTACTGGGATATCTCATGAGGATAGGC